TGAAGCACTCTGTGAATGCCCCGCTTCTTGGTTTGTTTTTCGAATTGTTTTCCAAGGATTTGTACTGTCAATTCTTTCCCTGATGCATTCATTTGCATTTGAGAATGATGAATCTCAGGTTGCCCTCAGCTTCTGCTGCCGAGCTCACTCACTCATCTTCGGCTGCGTCTTCGTCTGGCGGCCCTATGTCGATGCTGCAGCGGGCTGCGCTCTTTGAGGACCGTGTCAAACCGGTCGCAGATGAAGATGGAGCGACCTCCCTGCCTGACACAAAATGGGGTAGATGCATGCGGGCAGACTGTGGATATGCTTTGTTCCGCTCCTGTTCCGAAAGACAAATGGTCTGCCCAAGTTCATGAGAAACAAGTATGCAGAACTCCCTGCCAGTTTGCGCCGAAACACTGAGCGCGATGTGTGAAGAACTTTGTGCCAATCGGAAAAAGAGCTGCTGCTGCGGTTTGTTTGCTGAGAGATCTTTGCACCTGATGAAGAATGAAGCATGAAGTTTCCGCACAATGAAATGGCCTGTCAATCGCGAATATCATGGGAATCAATTCAAACCACTTGGCCATGACTCTGATACCTTGACTGCAGACACACCTTGCACGTTTCTCCCAGTCGCCAGAATTTGGTTGGTGAAGTTGTGGGTGCCATGTGTTTCACTAGGTGTGAGGTTTTTTTGAGCAAGCCAGTGGCCATTTTCCACTCATGTCACGTCTTTTTTGCAAAGCCTTTTTAGGTCCGAGTTTCACACAGGGAACGTCCAATGAAAAAATCCCTCGGACATGATAGATATCCCTCTGGGCGCAAACGACCTCCGAGTCGCACCATCGCTACGAGTTCTGGTGTCAACAGAGAATTTCACAAGAAGGGTCTCAGCTATTCTCCCGGAATCCGTGGGAAATTCAAAAAGTACCGTGCTTTGCGAGGTCTCAAGCAGATTGACTTTGCATCCTTAGCCTTGTGGTCTGAAATGCGGTGCAAAAAATACCTGGAAGCCAAAGGTTTCTTCGGGGTGCAGTGGGGACGTCAGTGCTGGAGATGTCAAGCATCCTTGAACCAGCTTCAACAAGATCCTGCCTTACTGCGTTGTTCGAACCGTTCTTGTCCAGCACTGCGACCTCGCATCTTGGTATGGTTTCATTTTTTTGGATCCATCGCAAATGATATACGCATGTTCACCTAGTCTTCGACTTGTGCGTTTTTCAGTTGTGGCCGTTCTTGCCTGTAGGTATCAATTGGAAATTTGGCTACACACCCTTCATCAACCGACTGAGAGGTGGACATGAACCAGACATGCAAGGCTTCGTACGTACGGTTTATTGTGTCAGTGCTAAGATTCCTCAAGATGCAGCTGCGCACATTGTTGGGCGATCCCATGACTATGTCGATTCCATTTACAAGCAAGCTCGCATGGTGACAGGTTGGGCTGAGTTTCAGAAAAACAAATCCATGACCTTTGACGCCGGAATCCTGGAGGTAGATTCGTGTCGTACGGCAACCAGAAAAAACAAGGTGGGGTCAAAGAAACGAAAAATGACAAAGAAGCCAGCCGGGAACACGGTTGCCAAGAAACCAACTTCCAAAGTGGCAGTGCATGGTGGTCGGTTTCTAGTGGCTGTCAGCAGAAAAAACAAACAAAGCGCTTTCTATCCTTTGCCTGACCGCTTCACGGCTACATCTGCTCCTGGCCCGCCAGAGACTTTAGACGAAGTTGTGCCGCTCTTGCAACACAAAGTGAACCCCAGCAAACACATCCTGGGCTCCGATGCCTCCAAAGGATTGAAGGGAGCTAGAAAAAAATTGAACTTGGAAGCAGTCACTGCTAGACATAGCTTGTCAGAATACACACCTGTACAGTCCCTCAAAAAGAGAAAGGTTTCCACAACAGCCTTGAAAGCCATTGGCTGCAAAGCAGCTCAAACTGGCCGGCATAAAGTAACCATGGTCGGAGGAGACCAGGTCGCAGAATCTCACACAGCTCTGCTGAAACAGCAGCTGAGACGAAACAATAAGCTTGGAGGCCTCTCATTGAAAACTGCACACGTGGATGGTTTGTCAGCACTTTACATTCACAAGAACTTAGGCCTGGAAGCGACTATGATGGCGTTCGCTCAATTCATTGCCCACATGACTGACAAAGTCAGTCATGTGAAATGTTTTGAAGATGTCTCGTGGATGGAAGACAAGTGAAAAAAGGGCTCAACATGCAAATGTGTCGCCGCAACAAACCCCTGTAAAAGTCAATGACACAACATAACCATGTTTGAAAATTGTCATTTCGCCACGGCGAAACACTCCTTTTTGATCATGTGACTTTGCCTTTGACACATCAATGAAAAAAAGAGCTCAAAATGCAAATGTATCGCGGCAACAAACCCCTGTAAGGGTTGCTCCCAACATCCATTTTTTTGAAAAAATGAAAGTTATGTTGACACTGCTAAGCAGAACTCAAGTCAATGACACATCATAAGCATGTTTGAAAACTGCCATTTCGCCACAGCGAAACACTAATTTTTGATGATATGCACTTTGCCTTTGACAGACAGACGAACCAAAACAATTGGAAGCGGGGCTAACCCCCCCCGTCAACCCAACATGTTGGTATCAAACTTTGGAGTCCAAAGTCTCCAAAACGCCCTAGTGTCAGACACGTGTATGAATCTCAAACACATTCATAGAATTTCATACATCTGCTTCCAGAAGTTCCACGTGTCATCCGCTTGTCATAATATGTCCTCCAACTTCAGCCACTGCCAAGCCTCTAAGACATCATCAACTATCTGCAGGCGCTCAGAAGTCGTGACAGTCTCGATGTCCGGTTTGCCTGGCTGATTCATGTCCCACCGTGCTGCCACTGCAAGGATACCACCCAACTGCCAATGACTGCCACGTTTCCAAACAACCCAACCCCCAACCGGCAAACTGGCTGGCTCCCTCATTGCTGTGGCACAGATTTGGCTTCCCAGCCCCCCATGATGCCATGCCATGATGCCATGCCAAGAGCCTTTGATTGCGCTTGAGGTGAGCGATGAGGACCAAAGACAGTCGAAGGTCACCTGGAAAACACTGGAAAATCCCCCATTTATACCCTCTGGTAATTTGTCAAAATAGCTATTGAAAATGGTGATTTAGGTCTCGTGGATTTTCCCATTGAAAATGGTGGATCTTTCCATAGCTATGGGACAGTTTACCATAGCTATGTTAGTTTACCAGAGGGTAGCTGGTTTTCCCATTGAAATGGCCATATTTTTGCGATTTCATATGGCCACCTTTCAGTCCGCCTGCTTCCCATCGGGCCGCGTGGCCACTGCAGAGTCCACCACCAGGGCAGAAAAGCCGCTGTGGGCCTGGCCCGATGCCCTCTATCTGAGTAGGTTGGTTACCCTCTGGTAATGGCTGACATAGCTATTGAAAATGGCCATTTATAGTGAGTTTTCCCAGTAAAAATGGTGATTTTCAATAGCTATGTTAGTTTACCAGAGGGTACCCTAAGGAATTTCTTGCTGGACTGCTGGACTGCTGACTCCGTAACGCTTTTGGCAATTTAGAAAATCCCAGCTGTTGAACAGGATTTAATAGGTAAATCATTGACACATGGGCCCTTTTCCAGTTCGCAAACTGTGAAAGTACCAGAGGGTGCATTGAAACATCGGCGCCTCGATGGCCCTGACAATGGGCTTCTCCTGGCGCCAGTGATGAACTGAGGAACCATCATCATTGGATACTATGGGATATGGGATATGGACTTATGGGTGATGATGATTATTATGATGATGACGATCCGGTCCCAACAATTGTTGGTTGCCTCCTTCCTCCTCATTACCATCATCATCATGATCCTCCCACATCTTAAGGCCCCCTGAGTCCTGGATCATGCGGCGCAACGCCGGCAGCCGGGACCATGTGGTGCTCACACAGCGGACCTCGTGGCAGTTGGGATTTTTGGCGGGATGTCAAACCTCTCATCTGGAGCGGTTGACTCAACGAAATGACTATCTCATGTTGAAGTCAATGTTCTGCATGTTCCAACTGCCGATAGGAATTTCTGACCCGACAATGTGAATGGCTGAACTTCCGAAAGCGGCAAGAACACCTGGACCTTTACGCAATTGAAGATACTTTGGATGGTTGCACTCAAACCTCATGGCCTCATGGAAGTTGGGTGATGAACCTCCACAGCTCGTGTTTACTTCTCAGCATCCCAGACCCTCGCGGTGATCGCTCCAGCCTTTACCGGCCCTGGCACATGTTTTGCAACGTGAAAAGAAGGAAAATCCCTTATCAATGAAGGTTTATAGCTGGGAAATTCATGTATAAATTGGATAATTGCGATGGTTTATTACCCGAAAGTACTCCCCAAATAGTTGTTTTTATAGGGAAAATGATGCTTAACAAGTGGAATCCAGGAATGGGGGTACCCAATTGTCAGACAAACCCAAATGGATGAAAAATGAATAAAACATTGAGGAAACACTACGTTCTACGATGGAACAGAGAGCAAATTCTCCCCTCGTAGCTCCCAGATTGGGAGTTCACGCTGGCTCCGCTTCACGGCCGGCCTCTTGAAAACATGGCCATCAGCAGCTGACAGTTTTCTGTAGCCAGAATAACGCTGTGCCGTGAACTGCTTAGTTTTTGGGTATCGGCTTGGCAAGCTCTGGGGCTGCAGTTCTTGCTCTCAGTTCAATCTGCTTTGAACAAGTACCTGAAGATGTTGGTTTCATTAACCAAACAAGATGGTTTGGGACCCGGCCTGTTGAAACTGCGAGCGCTTGCTGGGTGTGGGTTTTCTTGTCTGGCTGGGTTGCCGTCCATTAGCAGAAAGATGGAAAATCGACCTGAGACCATTGCTTTATGAGGAAAGATAGCCTAGTTTGGTTCCTTTGGAAAGATATTGGTTGCTGAGGAAAGATATGGTCTGTGGCCATGTGAAGCTTGAACCAAATGCTTTCCGATGCGGATGAAGCTGTATGAGCTGTGATATTGCACTGCGAGCCTTATCCTCCGGTCAGAATTTCTCCGGCTTTCCATGACCTCCGGTCCTGGTCATCGCTGCGATGGATGAGACGATCCACGGCCTCTTCAGGTGGAGGCCTCGCGTGAGAAGACATATGACTGACATCATATTTAGTATATACTAAATGTGTATATAATTGTGTATATATATATATGTACATATGACGATATAGTATGTATATAGATACTTGTATCTTCAGTCAAGACAAATGTGCATATCCACAGTATCAAGTGTTACAAAAATGAGATATACATGTGTGTATGTTCAAATCCAGATATAGGGGCACCCTGCAATCAAGCACCTGATCCGCATGCAAGTAGTGTTCCTTTGGATGTCCAAACTCGAAATTCACAGTGCCGCCATCCCCCTTTCCTGATGGTTTCTCTTCAAATAGAATGCCCCAAGGATCACTTGGTCATCCCATCCCGGACGTGCCTGAACTTCAGGTGATAAATCTCACCAGTTTCGGGGTCCAGGCGTCGGCCGCAGCCACGCTCCACCAGGGTGTCATCTGGCACCTGCCGGACCCGGCTCGAAACGGCTCGAGCCGATGACCCAGTGTCAACCATTGCTCAGGGAACCAACTAACTTATCTTAGCCCCCAAAAAAGATAGGAAAGCAAAATCCTTAGCTAAACTAGTGATAGATGTTTTCCCATTTTGTTTTCTATCCTTTTGGGGTGATCAAAATAAATGGATGCATATGATATAAGGCAAGGAACTGGAGAGTTGCTAGAAAGGCTCCTTAGCAGCTACAAACTAGGAGTGGTCATCCAAGTAATCCCTTTATACAAATCTGATTAAATACACCTCCGATTGAAACCCTGATCTAGTATTGGAACTGTTCGTTTTGAGATCCCATTTATTATAGACGCTATGTGTATGTGTGTATACATATATATATATATTGTACATGTATGACTGTGTGTGTGTGCGTGTTGTCTATGTGTTTCTACATTCAGTTGGTTCGTTAGCTAGTTAGTCAGTTAGTTTTAGTTAAATACTTAGTCATTCAATCAGTCAGGCAGTCAGTCAATCAGTCAGTCAGATAGCTGGCTAGCTAGCTAATTTCTTAATTAGGTTACCCAGCTAGATTATCTATCGTTCTTTCTATCTATCTATCTATCTATCTAGCTATCTATCTATCTATCTAGATGATCGAAACTATCTAGATTATCTATCTAGATTATCTATCTAGATGATCGAAACTATCTAGATTATCCATCTAGATTATCTATCTAGATTATCTATCTAGATTATCTATCTAGATTATCTATCTAGATTATCTATCTATCGATCTATCTATCGATCTATCTATCTAGATTGTCTATCTATCCATCCATCCATCCATCCACATGCATACATACATACATTACATATATATATATATATGATTTATTCATGTGTCTATTCTTGGGTGGTGGGATTTCCACTTTCTCAGCACGTCCCCCGGACCTTGATCACCAGGAACTTCTCCACGTCCAGTCCTGCATCCACCATGGCCTGTGCCTGGTCTGGAGCTCGAGGGAAACCATCCAACAGGCAACCTTTCTCCTTCACATCGTCCTGCAACAAGCGGTCCTGGAAAACAAAAAGAGGCGCCGGGCCGCAAGGGGGACGTATTCCAGGTGGGCAACAAATAATATGTATATATATATATACATATATATATAAATAGATATAGATATATATGTGATTATATTTTGATATATTTTGTATATATGATTCTAGATGCTTTAGGATTCATTCCCAGGACTCTTAGAATGCACAAGTCTACTTCTCCCTTGAACTACACTCAGCTCCTTCACCAAATCCACAATCAGCTCGCTTGGCACCAACCTCAGCACTCAGCCCGTCCTTGGGCCGACCCCGAAAGTGCCATTTCTGGTGGATGGTGAAGGCAGTGAAGGGTGAAAGATTGAAACATAAAATCAAACTGCACAAAGAGGAGAAAAGTGGTCCAAAGTCCATTAAAACATGGAAACCTCAAATGACTCAAATTCAATTGGGCCAAAGTCTTTCGTGTTTTGAATGAAGAAGCGTAACGACTTTAGCTCCCGGCGCACCAGAATCCATAAAGCCCTTGGCCTGCCATTTTTCTTCCAATGATGGAGCTTCAACGACACGTGGAGATATTGTCCGCAGTAACGAGATTCCATTGTTAACAGATTGAACAGATTTACCGAATAACATTGGAGGATATTGTTAACCAATCAACGAGCAAAACGGGAACGTTGATATTTTGGAAATGAGAAGCGAGATACTGTCCAAAAAGAGAGGATATATAGTGATATTGGCCAATGAAAGGGAAGATACTGCCAAATATATACCTATCAACAAAAATGGTGATACCTGCCATTGTGCAGATATCCGAAGGAATCCCACCGGATAACGACAGTGCATTTTCCCAATGCTTGGTCAGTGGATGAGTCACCAATCCCAAAATGTGCTCGTCAATGTGGGACTCATTCATCCCAGGTAGGCTGGCACTGGTGGCACCAACCAGTGCCAGATTCTTCCACATTCCCCACATACCTACATCTTTATATGATGACACTTGGTGGAGTGCTCGAAATACCCCGCACGGCGAAGCCATGTGGAATATCGCACGTTCCAGGTTCGCTTTCTCAAGGCATTTTCAGCTCATATGGAAGTGGAATTCTTCAAGTCCCAGTCACTTTTGGGTTGTCCGAAAACCCGATGGGGTTGCTTCCACAAAAAGTGGGTTGCAAGACTCAGTGGATCTGAGAATGGAGCATATGCCCCATTATTGCCATGTTAAATTCTATCTTACTGGAGAATAAGAATGATGCATAAAAGCGGATTTTAGGTATAAGTCCCCTCTTTCCAGACACTTCCAAGTGGTCTCCAGCGTGCCTTTTTGCCCAGCTCCGTGCCCTTCTTTACGTTCTCGCGCAGGATGTCACCTACAATGGAGATATCATGTGGGTCTTTTCTGCTGAGTTGTGAGGTGACTTTGTGCTAGTTACCCTGCTGTAAAACCCACTGAGAGGATATCTGAAAGGTGGTAAGTTCACTTCTATGGAGCTGTTCGTGGGCTTTTCGACTTCACAGGTGGCACCTATGACAGTCCTGGCAGAGTCCCGCGCCTGTTGAGATGTGCACAAAACCGTACTTGTCCTGCAAGGCAATCTGTGCAGAAACATACACCTTTTGTTCATTTTGCTCGGGGAGTTCAGCACAACGTTTCAGGCTACAGTCCCAGACAGAGTTATCAACTCTGGTTGTGGTTGATCGGGGATGGCTACTTCTTACACTGATTCTTCATCAAAAACATAGTAGCAAACAGTCCTAGCTACATATTTCAACTGTACACTGATTCAACATCCCAGTTGACATTAATCCAAATTTGGGCTCCTTGATCTTCTCGCACTGGGTGCCTTTGCCGGCTGCTGGTGGTCCGGCAATCACCTCGTTGCGCGAAGAGCGGGGGTCTCTTCGTCATTGGAACATGCCAAGACACAGACACGGACATAGACATAGTATGTACGTGCATTCAAATGTACATGTATTACGTAGAAATATATTATATATGTGTGTGTGTGTAAATGTATGTGCAATATTTATATAATTATATATATATATGTAACCTTGTATATATATATATAACCTAGTGATACCTAGTGTATGTAGTATGTGTATATTAATAAAGACACATATTTCTGTGTGTACTGTATGTAGGGAACCTCCCTGTTTTCCGGGGGATCACAACGCCAGAGCGCCACGAGAGATCCCGCGGCCGCGCCGCCACGGGCTTCACACAGCGTCAGCTGAAGCCTCGCGGGGTGAATGAAGCTTGGGATTGGTAGAGATGGCAGCTGAAGCAAGATGGGTTGGATTATCAAATTTATATGCTTCAGATTTAATTGATATATCCATTTGATTATCCATTATCCATTCAAGATGCCATTTATATCCATTTTTTCAAATTTAAATGGCAAGATGAATCAATTGATGGACTTCTGAAATAGAAATATCCATTTACTGATTTTATGAAGTGAACTCCAAACAGATATAGAAGTGATTTATGACTCGGAGTTCGTCAGGTTGATGACAGGTCCCCAATGACTTGCTGGAAATGCCACAGTGGCAATTGCCAGAGACCATGATCCCAACAGCTTTTTCTGGGTCCTTTTTTGGCATCAGGCTCTGCATGGCCTGGATGTGCCGTAGAGCTGGCTGGAAACCTCAGGTCCAGGGCAATCATCGTGGTGAGGATCTGAGGACCTTGACGGGAGTCATGATCTTCGATATGCCAGATCTGCTGTTCCGAAATCTCCCCCCAAAAAAAAATCTCAGAGCTCACTGTCCAGGAGCCCCAGCCAGGTCCGAAGCATATCTCGAGCGAGATGAAGTCACTGGGGCACAGATGGGGATGGGTCCAGACAGCTTATGGGATTTAGACAACAAAACAACAAAAAGATGCGATTTGAACCGTCAAAAATATTGTTTGAATCATCAAAAATGGAAAAGTAACCATCAAAAATGGCGGAATGAACCATCAAAATGGGATGGGACATGATTTATGTATCAAACATGGGAGGTACCCAAGTCTTGAAGCCTGGTGCTAACTGTGAATATTTGATGGACACATTTACCAACTATAAACGTGAGTCGCAGTCCTTCACCGTCATCAGGCATCCCCTGTCCTGTGCTCTTCTTTTTTGATCTTTTTGGGAGACCTGTTGGTAAAACAATGGTAAGCTTATGTTTTTACAGGACAACTTCGCCCTCAATGGTCAGTATTGTAGCTCCTGACCAGCTTCAGGGTCTCTGCTGGTGCCTGGAGCTCGACTGGCAAGGAAGACGTCATTGAGCCTGTGGGGACATTTTTGGCTTTTCCAAAAATGAGGTACATCATGTATATCTCCAGTATATCATGCCAAAATAGTTGGTAAATGGATGTAAATGGATATTCATCCCCTAAAGCATGGAGGTTGTGCAAAAATAAGATATATCATGAAATCATCCCAAATCCAATGGTTCAAAAATGGTGTTTATTTCACACCTCTTCCCCATTCACATGACCATTTGGGGTATACCCCATGGACCCCAGCCTGAAAGCTAATAAGAGGATAGGTGCCAAAAATAGCACCACCGAAAGACGTCTCTGACCTTAACGTGGGTGAGGATAAGGCGAGGACGTCTCGAGATTTGCTCCATAACATCTGCCAGCTTTTTGAGAAATGGTTGTCCCTTTATTCTCAAAACCTACAAATCTCAAAGGGGGGATGAGTATTGGATAACTCTTTCATTCAGCTTTCAAGTCTCCATTCTTGGAAGCCCTGCGAGCTGGCAATGCGGCTGTCATGGCGCTTTGAAGGCTGAAGAGCCGCTACAAAATTGGCCAACGCTGAGCCAAATGGATAGCAGTAAACTGGGTCGCTGCTGACGCTGAAGATCAAGTCAGGTCTACAAGTTCTCTGGCACCTTCAGCCTTCTGCAGTGGTGCATATCGTCTTCTGGGATGTCTTTAAACATATTTTAACATCACTTTTTGGTGATCAAACAATGGTTGGGGCCCTGCCAAAGGCATTCATGTTTACGGAGAAAATCCCAGAAAGCATCATGTTCGCCATAGTTTCAAACATGTTTCCCAATTCCAATATATTGCTTTGTCTTAAGATAAAGTACCCCAAAAATCCACCCGTAAAAAATGCGATAGTTTGGTGATATCTTAAAAAACCAATCTGTTTCCCCGAATGTCCACAATTTTTTGCGAGTTGACCCTGTTTTTCCATATGATCCCCATGTTTTTCTTGCTACAAAATCCCCAGGTTTTTCGTAAGCACCTGGCCTGGCAGCGTCATGGAGCGGCTGCCAACCTCGGGTGTTCTTGGGGGGTGCTGGCCATCTTCCCCCGCAGGTTGGTTGAGAATTGTGCCCATGTCCTGCAGCCGAACTTGGAAAAATCGGGAATAGTGTGTCTATGTGTGTCGTGTTTCTTCTTTTTGAGGTCTTGCAAAAGGTGAAAGTGTCGAAAAGAAACTTAATGCCAGTGACTGATCGCTCCATTCACCCACCTCAGAGAGGTCGGTTTGGTAAACCGTTTGCCATCATCAACACATCATCATTTACACATTAAGGGCTGAATCGTTCTGGTTCATCAACCCGAAATCAGGTGATGTTGAAAAATTTGGGGGTGATTTCCCTTCCTAACCCATCATCTATGATCTCAATGTCCACCCTGCCATCCAACTTTCTGAACGCTGTTTATCCTCGTTGCCGCTCCGCCTTAAACTTGGACACTCGCTTTGGAGCGCCCTCAACCGGCGCTGATGACGCTGGCAACGGGGCCTGTAGACGCACAAATGGCAGCATCGAAGTGTGAAGGGATGTTTAGGTCAACCACCTACCCTTTTTCTTGCAAAGGAATAGGTATATGCAGATATCTATATATATATAGATATACGTATATATATATATTATATATATATATTATATATATATATTATATATATATGGATACAATACCTGGATCTATGGATAGATATATGGATGGATGGAAAGATAGATGAACGGACGGATGGACGGCTGGATGGAAGCCTTCATGCCAGGCCTGGTGCTCACGGATCACATTGGCCACAATGCTATCAGATACAGGCGCAGCATCATCCAGGCTGCCAGTGTTGCCCATGAGTTTGTACAAATCTGCAGGACTCAATGCCTTGGGCGCATCAGATGTACCTGCAGGGGGGCTGCTGGGAAGGTGCGGAGAAAATCTTGAGAATCTCGCAGCTATGTGTGTGTGTATATATATATATAGAATATACATACATACATATAGAGAGAGAGAGAGATAGATATAGTAAAGGTTGCTTTTCCTCAGAGAATATGTAGCGGATAACTGTAGTGTACAAGATTCTACACAAAACACAAAAAATAAAGAACATACATAGCGGAAAAAACCACTTCAGACATATATAATCTTTTGACACTATGTCAGTGTGCTGAATTTCAGGTGCAGCCCCCAAATTTCACCCTGCCGCATTGTCAACCTCAGCCCACATCTCAACTCTGCCTCCAGGCTGACTCTGAGATGGTGGAAGCTCCTCATATTGTTCCATGAGTTGATCCAGTTCCAACATCTCATCCACTGGCTGAGCTCTCTGAGTGGAGGCTTCCACTTCTTCAGCACCTGCCTCCATCTCCTCCAGTTCCCTCAAGCGGCGGCTCAGGGCACCGTCTTCACGTGGGGTGCCAGTCTGCCAGAAGTTCCAACCATCCAATGTCTCCTCCATTCCATCCATTCTATCCATTCCATCCATTCCACCTGGCTGTGTGGGGTCAAGATATGAGACACCCCAAACCAATAAACTTCGGCATTTTTTTCCGCGTTAAATCATCATCAATCATCCAAGTATAGATGGCCAATTCCCAGTTTGAGGGTTCATCTCCCGAATCTTTTGGCAAAAAACGTGTCAATTACCACCCATAAAAACCACTTGACCATCAGCTATATACAAAGAAAACATCTTGGTGACCAAAAAAGACTTAGGAATAGAAACATCTTGGTAGTAAAAAAAACATCTAATAATATAATATATATACATATATACATGACATATTGCAAGATATTTATAACATATGACGTTTGTTTGTTCTCCACTTGCACCTGAGGTCCTTGTGTCCTCCATGGCCGGTTCGCGGATGTCCATGAAGCCCTCCTCGTCCAGCCGCACCGTGGCACCTGGCACGCCGGGCACGCTGCGCAGCGTGGTCCGCTCGCTGGGTGAAGGGCGGGCTGCACCGGGAGCCGCTTCGCCTGTGGACCGGGTGAAGTGCAAAGAACTATGCTGATGATTCTTTATATGATAAAATGCATGCAAAGATATTCATAGTCTATAAATATCTATCTATCTGTCTATCTATCTATCTATCTATCTATCTATCTATGTGTATAATTGTATAATTGTATAATTGTATATACACACAGAATTGCACCATCAATCAATGGTGAGTCCTTTTTGCATGTGTTTTTTCTCGTTCTTATACAAAGACTGCTCCCAGCGCCTGCTGCCACCTGCTGCTGCATTGTCAACTCACGCACCTGACAGGTTCAAGCCTCCTGGAGGTCTAGTGCCAGCAATTGCATGGTTTAGCAACGGTATCCCCGCGGGAAAATCCCCATTGCTACAGGAAAATCATCTACAAATGAGTGATGCTAGTGCCAAAGTCTGTTGTTCGGAGCAAGAAAGAGCGAGAGCGAGAGAGAGAGAGAGAGAGTACATGTCAAGATTCCCCACTTTCATACTATCCTCATGTGAAGATTTCGTTAACGGTAAATCCACAGTTATGCAACAAGCAGAATGTCTTCGCTATCAACCTTCTCCTGACAACCCTGACCAAATCCCGCAGTGAGCATGTCGCATCCAGGAACTATGTAGATCCAAAACTCCAAAAAGTTTGATTTCATCATCTATGAAACATCGAAGCATTCCAAATAGCTTCCAGTTCATTCCCCGCCATAGGGGTTTCTCTGAAAATTCGGTACCCCAACTTCCACTGCTTTGAAATTGACCAACACCTGGCGACCCAGCAAGGACCCAGGACCTCCCGTGCCACCGACTCTTCGTCGTTTCCGATCCGCTTCAAGCGCTTCTCCACCAGCTGCAGGGCGCGGTCGCGGGTGCGCAGCGCGAAGTACTCGGAGCTCAGCTGCGTCAAGACCTGGCACCAGGGATGGGCTGTGGGGAGGGGGGCAAAAAGGAGGACCATGGGGGTTCTGGGAGGTGGGAGAAACTAACCATTTGTGAGGGATTATGGTTGATGAATGATATGAATGGATTGATGAAACCAAAGATGTTTCAGTGGATTATGATTTAGTTGAAGTTTCAGATGGTGTAGAGAAACTTCAAGTTCTGCAGTATAGACTCAGTATCAAATTGATTCATAGCCAGCAAGCAAAATGGAGCTGACCTGCCAGGTCTGTGCCGGGACCGGTCGGGACCGATCCAAGGGATCCCTTGGTGCCTCGTTGGTGTGTACCAAGTGACCAGGAAATGACGCCAGTGGCCCGAAGGGCACCATGATGGGATGCTGCACTTTCTTCGGCAGCTCCAACAATAAGCCCCGGAGCTCCTCGTACTCTTCCCGCCTGAAACTGAACCAAAAATGGAAATGGATTTTGTCCAAAAATGGGCTACATCCCAACAGTGCAGAATTTCATTGGACGCAAATGATGTGCTAAATCCTTTGGAATTGAGGGTACCCAAAAAGGTACTTCCATTTCCAGACAAACCCTGATGTCATACTGAAAAGCATCATGTTGAAGTTGCGTATCCCACAACATCCCCATTACGCACCTAATTTTTTTATCACCCCCATTCATGTGGGTTAAACCCACCCTTTATGTTTCTGATTCTCAAATCCCTACTTCCAGAGGGCCTCTCTTCCAGAGCCTTTGCGCTGCTCTCTGCATGCTTTAGCTGCTCCTCAAAATTTGGCAAGCTGACTCCCACAACCAGAGGCACTGGTCAAGCCAAGAAGTGTGAGTCAATATGGATATGCGTGTGTTGGTGCGTGTGTGTGTGTGTGCTAATGCAATGTCATGTCACGAGACATAATGCAATGACATCATGTGATCTAATCGAATCAAATGCAATGCGATGTGCGGCGAGTTGATGAGATGTCATGGAATATATATATATATATAATCTTATGTGATGCGACGTGATGCAAGATAAGGTAGCGCAAGGTAGCGCAAGGTACCGTAATATAATGTATACGAAGCAGCCTAGGAACCAAAGAAACTTGGAAAACTGCCACCAGGCATGTTTCTTGGGAGATCCATTTCTGACGGAAGAAATTTGAGTCATTCCCTGGTGGGATCCTGAAATGGTTTTCTATGTCTTGACCCGCAGCAACATAGGGATGGACCAAAACCCTATGATATGTAAATTTGGGGGGGAACTCACAAGAACCACCAGCTATTCGACCCATTGTCAGGTTTTAGACCCATCCCCACGTGGAGTCTCCAAAATTTAAAAGAGAGATTTTACCTGATTTTATGGCACATGGCGCAGAAAAACATGGCAAAACCCGGATTTGGGCAGCGAGCTCCTCCAGTCGTTCTCTCACAGCCTGGAAGAGCTCGGCACTTGCACCGCCCGCCATTGGAGGCATTGGAGGCATTGGAGGCTTGGAAACGGTGGTCATGGCATGGCTAGAACTCATGTTTTTCAAAGCATGGCTATGTAGAACTATGTAGAACTCAACTCATATCCGACTTCTTTCGAATTGGGATAACGAACCAAGGAACCCGGGAATGTCGAGGACCAATTGCCAGGAGGTCGTACCCGGGGATCCGTCAGTTGGGCCAGAAAGCACTCCGAGAAGCTACAGCTACTCCATCTTTCCTGGAAAGATACATCCAGTGGGGCTACTACTTATGTTTTTTTTTTTCCACGGCACATGGTGTACTGTTGTTGCACCCTTCAGACTTGAAAGTTGAGTCACCAACTGGTTGGTGGTTGACCTACCCCTCTGAAAAATATGAGTCAGTAAGGATGACATTCCATACCATATAACATAGACCCGGGCAAGCCGGCGGCGGAAGTTTCCCAAAAATAAATGACCTATAGTTCAAAGACAACCTGTCCCGACCGTGTCCTTCCCTCGACACTCACTCTGCACACTGCACTCTTCGCACTCCAAACTTCAAACTTCACACTCCACACTTCACACTTCACACTCCACACTTCTCACTTCTCACTGCTTCCTTCACACTCCAAACATCACACTTCACACTTCACACTGCGCTCTTCGCACTCCAAACTAAAACTTCACACTCCACACTTCACACTTCACACTCCACACTTCACACTTCTCACTTCCCACTGCTTCCTTCACACTTCACACTTCGCACTGCACTCTTTACGCCCCACACTTCACACTGCTCTAAACCTACCTGCAACAAAAAAACACTAGTGCCAAAATGGAGAAAATCTGCTAACAAATCCATTTCGCAGCCTTCATGCAGCCACTCCAAGACGATTTACGAGATCCAGCTGCAAAAGACAATAGTATTACGAATGCAGCCACAGCACGAAGCAACCTTGACGCAGCCATTACAATGCGATCTGCAGAGACTGAATTGCAAAACACAATAGAACTACGCGCATCGGCGTCGGAAATTGTAGCTCCAAAACCGGATCTCGACGCCAGAGCGAAAAAAAGACGATTTTGAAGCACTTTTGAAAAGGATTTTTAGAAGGAAAATCACTAGCGCCAAAATGGAGAAAATCTGCTGACAAATCACTGTCGCAGCCTTCATGCAGCCACTCCAATACGATTTACGAATCCAGCTGCAAAAGACAATAGTATTACGAATGCAGCCACAGCACGAAGCAACCTTGACGCAGCCATTACAATGCGATCTGCAGAGACTGAGTTGCAAAACACAATAGAACTACGTGCAACGGCGTCGGAAATTGTAGCTCCAAAACCGGATGGATCTCGACGCCAGAGCGGAAAAAAGACGATTTTGAAGCACTTTTTAAAAGGATTTTTAGAAGGAAAATCACTAGCGCCAAAATGGAGAAAATCTGCTGACAAATCACTGTGGCAGCCTTCATGCAGCCACTCCAATACGATTTACGAGATCCAGCTGCAAAAGACAATAGTATTACGAATGCAGCCACAGCACGAAGCAACCTTGACGCAGCCATTACAATGCGATCTGCAGAGACTGGGTTGCAAAACACAATATAACTACGCGCAACGGCGTCGGAAATTGTAGCTCCAAAACCGGATCTCGACGCCAGAGCGAAAAAAAGACGATTTTGAAACACTTTTGAAAAGGATTTTTAGAAGGAAAATCACTAGCGCCAAAATGGAGAAAATCTGCTGACAAATCACTGTGGCAGCCTTCATGCAGCCACTCCAATACGATTTACGAAGTCCAGCTGCAAAAGAAAATAGTATTACGAATGCAGCCACAGCACGAAGCAACCTCGACGCAGCCACTACAATGCGATCTGCAGAGACTGAGTTGCAAAACACAATATAACTACGCGCAACGGCGTCGGAAATTGTAGCTCCAAAACCGGATCTCGACGCCAGAGCGAAAAAAAGACGATTTTGAAGCACTTTTTAAAAATATTTTTTAGAAGGAAAATCACTAGCGCCAAAACGGAGAAAATCTGCTGACAAATCACTGTCGCAGCCTTCATGCAGCCACTCCAATGCGATTTACGAGATCCAGCTGCAAAAGACAATAGTATTACCAATGCAGCCACAGCACGAAGCAACCTTGACGCAGCCATTACAATGCGATCTGCAGAGACTGAGTTGCAAAACACAATAGAACTACGCGCAACGGCGTCGGAAATTGTAGCTCCAAAACCGGATCTCGACGCCAGAGCGAAAAAAAAGACGATTTTGAAGCACTTTTTAAAAGGATTTTTAGAAGGAAAATCACTAGTGCCAAAATGGAGAAAATCTGCTGACAAATCACTGTCGCAGCCTTCATGCAGCCACTCCAATACGATTTACGAAGTCCAGCTGCAAAAGACAATAGTATTACCAATGCAGCCACAGCACGAAGCAACCTTGACGCAGCCATTTACACTGCGGGAACGATCCTACAGTTGCAAAGCACAATGGAATTCCATCGGCAACTCATCAGCAACACTTGCAATGGCATTTGCATTGCGGAAACCATCCTACAGTTGCAAAGCACAATGGAATTCCATCGGCAACTCATCCACCAGCACCACTTGCAATCCCATTTACATTGCGGGAACGATCCTACAGTTGCAAATCACAATGGAATTCTGTCGACCACACATGCACGAAAAACAGGTGAAACCCCATTTACAATGCGGAACCGATCCGAGAATGATCCGACCATGATCCCGATCCGACCATGATCCGACCACACACGAGACCGTCTCGCAACCGTCGCACCGCAGAGGTAGATCATCGAGGTTCGGGGACGGACTTTGTATGGAAAAACATAGGGTTTCGTGCATCTGCTATCTCTCAAAAACGCATTTCGTGCGAGACTTCCTTCAAAACTCCATCGGCAACTCCTCCACCAGCACCACTTGCAATGCCATTCTAACTCTTTCTTTGACTAACTCTTTCCCTGACATTCTAAAAGTTACAATTAACTCTGTCCCTAACTAACTCTTTCCCTCACTAACTCTTCCTTTGACTAGCTCTTTCCCTGACAGTCCAAAAATTACAATTAACTCTGTCCCTAACTAACTCTTTCCCTCACTAACTCTTTCTTTGACTAAATCTTTCCCTGATGAACTCTTTCCCTAACTAACTCTTTCCCTGACTACTCTTTCTTTGACTAACTCTTTCCCTGATGAACTCTTTCCCTAACTAACTCTTTCCCTGACTAACTCTTTCTTTGACTAACTCTTTCCCTGACATTCTAAAAGTCCGTAACACGGAAGTTTCTCCCCCTAAACTTCCTTTGATGAAATGGATTGTTTTTTCAGCCATGTTTGAAACCACCAACCAGGTAACTATATTATTCATTATTATCCAATATTAAGTCCCATTAACCCATAGTAAGTCCCTACTGTTGATGGATCTCCCTTCATCCTGTTCCCCCTGACCATCCCCAGACCGCAGCACGGCAGCAATTTCCGGATCCCAGCAGTGATCATTTTTTGGTGCTGTTGAGGGCCACGCCGTGCTACAGCGAAAGTGAGATTGATAGATTGATAGATTGATAGATGAGACGAGATAAGATCAGATCAGATCAGATTAGAATTAGATAGATGATAATACATCAAATTGCACGTTAGGTTTCAACAAGCGCGGGAGTGACTTCATGGTGACACTGAGACTTCAACCAAGCTGGAGAACTCAAACTTTCGAAAGAATTTAAGTCTTTAGATAGTGTAGTCGCCACGTCTGAAAAAATCGTCTATATGGATCTAAATTGTGCATACTGGGGCCCAGAATGTAGCCAAACTATGCCCAGTTCTGTGCCCTGAATCTCTGCAGATTTGATCTCAATCTGCTGGTGAAAATCAGCGAGTCCCTCACAAAGGTCCTGGCAACCGAGCATGTCCACAGTACCTCTCAAAAAGTATACCAGCCAGCTTCTACGCTGCAACCCCGAGCCTGATGGTCCACAACTCAAAGGGATAGAGACGCGACCTGGAAAACGGGGAGAAAGCTGCATGTTTTTCCATGCTTGATATTCAACATCACATTTCTTGGATGGTAATTATCGTTCTGGGGTGATATTGTTTCAATTTTGACACTCCTAATACTCCTAATCTAAAAAAAGCAACCTGGTGCATTTTGGGTGCAGTTAATCCACCACAGAACTGTGGTTAAAAATCAGAGGTTGGGGCACAAATGAATATACCAATTCGGTGTAGTCGTTGATCACCTCTCGAATCGTATCTTCAAAACGACCCACAACTTTGTCCCTTTGAATATTTGACCATGCCAGTTCAGGGATATTTGGTCTTCAGCAATACCCATCTGCAAGAGTTCAGCCCAACAACCTTTTGCTCTTGCGAGCCATTGCAGCCATCCTGCTAGATGTATGGAATCTGATCTCGGACTGAAGTGCTGTCACCACCACAGTTCGGGTTGCCCCAGGTCACCACTGTACCATCACCTAAAATTGCAGCAAATGCCCCCTTTGTGGCATGAATCTGCTGAACGTTCCTAAGCTGAGCTTGAACTGCAGTGCTGTCACCCCCACAGATTGCACTGCCCCATGTCACGACGCTTCCATTTGCCAAGATTGCAGCAAAAGCGAAGGCTGTAGTGTGAATTTCCTGAATATTTCTGAGCTGCTCTCGGACTGCAGTACTGTCACCACCACGGAATGGATCACCCCAGGTCACTACGGTTCCGTCCGCCGAAATTGCAGCAAAAGCATGGGCTGTGGCATAAACATGCTGAACATTCTTGAGCTGATCTCGGACTGAAGTGCTGTCACCGCCATATCTAGGGTGGCCCCATGTCACAATAGCTCCGTCTGCCCGAAGTGCAGCAAAACTGCGGTCTGTGGCGTAAATATACTGAACGTTCCAGAGCTGATCTCTGACTGCAGTGCGGCTACCGCCAGCATGTCGATTGCCCCAGGTCACCACAGTTCCATCCACCAAGATGGCTGCAAAAGGGGGCAAATATTGCGAAGGCAACAGGCCAAATATGCAGACCGGAGTCTGCACTAAGACGCTGCCACCAAAAAGAAGCCCTTAGGCAATTCCTCTGTATCGTTTGTCAAGAAGCTTTTGGCGCACTTTCCCCAAATGGGCAAGCACTGCTTGATCTGTTCCCGGATTGCGGCCCATTGGCCAGCCTAAAATTCTCTGAAATGCATCATTGGGACGGCGGGGCCTGCTGGCCGAGAATGCCGGGCAGTACCAAGCAGCATGGTCCCAGCATGGAATTGCACTTGGATGCTGGCACCAAGAACAAGGCTGGATGGGTCTGTGATACATCCGATCCAATCGCGCATCTGAAACCACTGCCCCCATCATGACTGCCTTAGCGTGTGTATCAAATTCTCGAAACAACTGCCTCGCAGCAGCAACTCTAGATTCTGCATAAGGAGGTGTACCAATTGCTTGCGCATCTCTGCGTGAGCTACCCAAAAAGTTGGCAAACAGGATGCGTCTCCAAGATTCTCTCAGCATATGTTTTTCTACATCAAGTTCTGCTGTAGACACACGGCCCGACCAGCGGATGATGCCACGGGCGCCAAGTGCATGGCAGCGCCAATGAAATGGACCTTCCTCGATCCAACCCAGGTCTTCCAGCCAGCCTCGGACAGTGCCAAGCCATGTGCCTCTGGTGGGGCTGCGAGGCCATTGGCGAGCACGTTTCCGTACCTCAGCAGCCAGATACAGATATGCTTGCATGCCAGCAACAAACTCAGCATTCAGGCCGTGCCCGGCCAAAATGTAAAACAAGTCAGTGGATGCTTGAGGATGTTCACTACCTGCTGTTCTTTTGACTATGCTAGTTAGACAACGCACTTGGCTCAAGTTGGTCCAACAGCCCCAAGCAGCTTTAGGGATGGCGATGGACGCCACATGTTGGGCTTTGAGATGCATTCCAACTGGCAGTACTGCAATCCGTTGCAGTCGAGACTTGGTCACTCTCAAGCGTTCTTCTGAAGTTTTTCGGTCCGAAGCACCGAGGCGGGTTGTGAAATCAATGCCCAAAACCCTGGCTGCATTTGTGACATGATGCTGTGCAAAGCCTTGTGCCACAAGCTGAGCTTCATATGCAGCCCTCCGGGGGAATACACGTGCTTTGCTGTCATTTTCCCACAATCCCAAACGCGATGACACCTGTTGCCAGGTTTGCCATAAGCGAAATGCTTGCTGGGGATCTCTTGCAATCATGTTTCGATCATCAAGGAATGTGGCTAAACTGAAAAGCTGGGGCTCACGGCGGAGCACAATCTTGGTAATTCCTGTCATCAAAGCAAGTAAAGTCAGGGGACTGGTGGCATCCCCTTGTGGGAGTGATGTACGCACCTCTATAGGCCCCGGCATGTACTCACCATTGTAGGTGAGCCACCGTGACTGCTGCCATACAAATTTCAACATCTGAAGCATGGGAGAAGGACAACCGAAATGCCGAAGACAAAGAATACCCAGCTCAGGATCAACTGTGTCAAAACATTTTTGAAAATCTAAGCTCAGCAAAACCCCTCCTTTTTCAAATTTTTGAAACAACATGTCCACTGCTCTGGCGACTCCTTTCCCGTGAATACCACCACAGGCTGTTGGATGGACCCAAGAAAGTATCCATCTGCGAGTTGCGGCTCTCCTGGTCCAAGCAGAACTAACTATTCGCCAAATAGTGCACTGGATGGATATCGGTCGCAAATCCTTCGCAGATATGGCCTGATCTTGTGTGCGTAATTTCGCGCCCGGTTTCTGCAAGTGTACCTGTCTGGTATGTTGCCAAACACTTGGAAAATCTTGGCGTGCAATCCATCTGGTCAGCAGTTCGGCCAAGATTTCCCAGGCACGGAGCGGCAATTGTGCCGCTTCGGAACCTGTTATCCCATCTGCTCCACCAGCTGAGCCCTTCATTCTGATTGCTTGTCTGTGAAGTTCCTTAGGTGTGAGGTTTGACCAGGCATATTCCGGCATGGGCTCACTGCCTTCCTGCCAAAACTGAAAAGCTTCCTGCACGGGCGGCCTGTCTCTTTCCCAGATAGTCTTCCAAAACTGCGAAATAGCTTCAAGAGATTGCTGATTCGAAGAAGTGGCTGTATTGTCCTGGTATCCTTCAAAGTGCACCGAAGTGACTGGGAGATTATTATCCCTTTTGACCCACTCACGGGCATGGCTCATGTTATTGCGCATCTTGCGGCGCCATTCTTGGAGCTTTTCCAATCGATCCTGTTTCACAAGTGTCTTGATTTCCTGATCTGCCCAATGCTCAATATCAAGGAGAGAAACAAAGTTTTTACCACGGACCAAAGGATGTTGCCATATGCGCCGCAACAACACGGCTGGAACTGAGGCCCCGGCTGCTTGTTGGACGTTGGCTTCTCTGACCCTTCCGAGCAGCTTTCTGGCCTTCAACTCTCGGCATGAAGCATGCTGTTTCAAGCGAAATATGGCTGGCTCAAGTTCTTTGATTTTCATAGGGCTGCCTTTTGCCCGGACATTAGCGGTGTGCCCATGGCTGAGGCTTCCGCTGCAAATTTGGTGGGCAGCATCGTATGAAGATTCAACGGCGGAGCAAAAAGTATTCCATTCTTCTTCGCTTGTCGTGTTCGGAGGCATGGGGACCTGTTGCCATGCCTTGACCATGGCTTTGTCCCAATCCTTCTGGGGAATTTGCTCTGGTCGCAATAAACTGCGGGTGGGCACTTGTTTAAAGCTTTGCACACATTCCTGGCTGTATTGAAGATTAAAAGTTAAGGCTTTATGATCAGAAAAGACAGCTTCGGAAAAGGCAAGTTCATCTACCATGAAAGGGTGTGAAGACCAAATCCAGTCAATGCATCTGTTACCTTCCCACCTCGTGGGTGCTCTGGTCCCATCAGGGAGGGAAACGACTTTGGCTGCTCCACCATCGGCGAGGGCCGTCCACCGGTCTGCAAGTTCCGGCTCTTGGTTGAAATCTCCTAAAATGACAACTGGCTCTAAGGCTCCCGCCGATGCAATCCATTCATCCAGCACTGTCAGTGTTTGCGTTGCTTGGGAGTTGCGGGGCGGCAAGTATGCACCAATAATAAACATGTGATCCAATTGAAGCATAATGGCTTGTCCGTCATATGCAACATGTCTGTTCACTTCTCTAGCACCCTTATCTTTACGCACAAAGATGGCCACTCCACCAGATGTGTAGGCATGCCCTAAGACGCTGTGTGATGCCGGAGGTGCAACAAACCAGCTTCTGTAGCCTTTAGCCTGCATGAATCTAGAAAGATCTGCCTGCTTGTCTGGCAGCATACAATGTTCCTGGAGTATGGCAATGGCGGGTTTTTCCTTACAAATCCACCTGGCACAGGCCCATGAATTTTCACGGCCATTGACGTTAATCGTGATGCCATGCATGTGACGACAACTTGACGGACCAGGGTTCGGCTCAACATCACCATCTTCCGTATGGTCCCGCTGCCAGACTTGCGCTGGCAGCGGGGGCAACTTCTTGTCTGTGCCAGCCTTTTCAAGCACATTTATTTCTTGGTGGCTGAGTTTCCAATGTCTGGCTAGGAGCTTGACTGCCTTTTGATCTTCTTTTTGTCTACATCGCAACCATAGATTTTGTCTCGATCCACGTGCCATGTGAACGGGTCTGGCAGCGTGTCCACCACACTCATGTTGGAGCAAATAACTAAGTTTCTGGAAAACAAGAGTACATGTCCCACAGCTGAAATTAATGCAATCAGAAAGAAAACCCTGCGGGATACGGAAAGCCCCCGCCTGAGTGGATTGGTTGTAACTTTCAATCAAGCTGTCGTTGCGTTTGATCTTTTTCTCTGCATTTGATTTGACAAGCTGTGCATGGATTCCTCGCCAGATAGGACTGTTGTAGTGAAGCTTTTTGAGTTTAGCTTTGGTGATACCATAGCACCGTATGACATGAGCATCGCGGCTAATTTTGAGTTGGTGGCGCGGCATGTACGCCAACCCCTCCCCGCATTTGCTACATGTCCAAGCTCGCTGACTTTCTGGAATGCTTCCGCTCGCATTTGCGATTTGAGTAATTGGGCGTGGGAAACAAGCATGAACAGCTTTGGCTTTCTTGGGGTGTTCCTTTTTGATATGCCTAAGTCGTGCACTGGCGATTGACTTCTTGTTATGGTATCTGAAAACTTGCTGACACAAATTGCATGTCCAAACAAATTGCTCGGAAACGTGGGTAGCTCGGGTACCCTTCTTTTTATTCTGTTTCCTGTTGCCGGTGTCCACAGGTTGCACACTGCGGACTGCGCTGCTGACTGTCTTACTTTTTGGTTTATTGACTGTCATGGCTGTCTTAGTGCAAGACTTGATGTTTCGTGTCAATGTGCTCCGGTGGCTGCTGGGATAACATGCAGGAAGTTTCCTGGAGCTTTCAGGTGTACAGGCTGGTCTCCAGGAAGCGCCGTGTGACTTGACGGATCCATTTCTCTTGATTGTTTTGGTCTTGGATTCAGGGGTGTGCGCAGGTCGCCAGGAGTGGGCCGAACTAGCACAACTTCTGGCAGGAGCTGGTGACTTCCCGCCGCCTCGTAGAGCGACGCTGGCAACAGAGGCTTGAGCGGCTTGAGTCCATTCTTTGGGCCATTGCTGGCCGGCTTTGAGCTGTAACAGGGTGTAATGGCCTTGCCGATCGTTGAGTAGCAGTACGATGGGCTCTCTCCCTGACCGGGGCGTTCCAAAAGCCATGGGTTTGTCTTTCTCTTCTCCTTCCAAGGGAATGACAATGATGTGCATACCATAGCGTTTGCTTGCCGCCCTCAAACTGAGACCGTCGATCCACCGTCCTTCCCTGAGTGTGCATTCCAAGTATTCTTCCCATGTGGTGGGGGAAGGGCCTGCATCAATGGTTTCCTCAGGTTCTGCTGGGACAAAATATTCTTGATATTCAGAAGCATACTTATCCAAATGTTTATATAAGTCATGTCTGATTGTTCTGGCACGTGCTGGTAGATCGCCCTTCACCTGTTCGATCGATTCTCCCTTGTCGAGAGCCAGCGCAGCTGCCAGGCAAGTGTAGCCGCAATTACCGCCGCCTCCGGTATCGAGCGATGTCACTTTGTCCATGAAAGGGCCAAAGGGGCCCGCTTCTTTGGATTTTTCTTTCTCTTTCTCTTTGGGTTTATCCTTGGCGGCATCCTTGTTGGGAGAGCGGCTGCGTTCTCTAGCCAGCTCCTGCCTTTGTTTTTCTGCCTCAGGTTTAGTCACCTGTGTGCATTGAGCTTGATATGCCGACCGGATGACAGACACAACTTCCGGAGAGCGGCGTTTCTTGTTCTGGACACGGTTGAGATACAGAACCCGTGTGCCTGCATGGATTGCAACCACACCCAGGCTATTCTCATCTGGCACGACTGCTTTGATTAACCAAGACCTGTGGCGTCCTGGTGGGTTTATGATAGCAGCCTCTTGGCAGCCTGCATCGAACAAGCATTGCATGACATCTTGTCCAAACCAATGCTTGGGAGCGCCGTGGAGGGTCCATGCATGTAGCTGTGGCATGTGCTTGTTTTCTTGGAGACGAAGACCCAAACATGTGCTGCCACCCTTGCGAAAACATAAGCTGGAATTTTCTTTTTTGGCTTCAGCATGCGCCCGGGTAAAATATGAGCTCATGGTTTCACCTTCTTTGATCTGAATCCACCAAATGTTCGGTCTTCTGCTCTGTTCAGTATTGAGTTTATCAACAAACAGGCCGTCTTTGCCACTCAATTTTGTGATCTGATCGATGGATTTTTCCTGTGAGCGCAAGAAACCCTGCAAAAGAGTCTCGGGCTCCTGTTGCTTTTTGTTGACAAACTTGACTTCTTTCCATCCATAAGTTGAATGCACAACTCGCTCCCCAAACACTTTTTGGGCATGGCTCTTTGGATTCCGCAGGATGGTCTCCCACAAGTCTCTCGAGATCATGGCCTTAGGGACAGTAACTCGAAAAGTTGACAAAGCATGGCTATCAGCGGAGACATCGGTGGCACGTGCCGTTTGCAGCGGTACCTTGGGTAATGTCTTTAGCAAAGGCAGAATGCGGAACTGGTGCAAAGTTACTCGACCCTGCGCAATGGTGGGCAAATAGCCTAATTTTGAGTCAGCCACCGTCTCCGGACCGGGGGTCCAAACAAGTGCAAAAGGTTTCTCTGGGAGATTGTGCAGTTTTGCAAGTCTTTGCAGATCTTGAACCTGTCCCAGATTCTGGCACAGAGTGGCGCTGCCAGTCGGCGACTGTCCGGCTTCCAATTGTCTTTTTGCATCTGTAAAAGAAATAAGAGCGCCTTTTTCCCACGCACCTTCCAATAATGCAACTGGCTTTGCATTCTGAGTCGGATTGGTTCGGATTCGGGCGTTGGGCGACTTATTGCTTCTATCAGCTGACTTGTTCTGACCTTTGCCCTTACCGTTCTCAGGTGAGTTAGGCTTGTTTTTCACTACATCTGCCCATGTCTGCTCAGCTGGGCGTTTTTGAGATGTTTGTCTCGTGGTGTTTTCTGTTGAGCTGTTTTCTGGCGACATGCCAGGTGACGCTTTCATCTTTTTCTTGGGCGGCTCATGTGTGGCCTCAGTGGGTCCGGGCATCTGCTTTGCCTTGTTCCACTGTTGGTTTTTCTGCTTTTTGTTGATATTTTGCGTAGCCGTGCTAACCAGAGAAGTGAGCCTCCTGAGGAGGGTTCCTGGTTCGCGCTTGGCTCGTTCGATGATTCTCTCAAGTGATCGTAAAAGACCCGTTTCAGGCGTGTCATGTGCTTGGTCAGCTGCAGATGCTGCGCTGGTTCCTTTTCCTTTGGCATTAGATTTGGTTTTTGGTGTTGGCTGTGCAAATTGCTGGCTCTCTTGCTTCTGACCGGAGTGCTGTTTTGCATTTGAAAAATTGCTCAAAAGTCCGGCTAGCGCTTCAAGCAGAGCAGTTTCATCGTTCTCTTCTTTCCTGTAGGCAGTGATCTTGGCACTACCTCTACCACCCCCACCCCGGAACATAGTATTGAGTCCCACGCGCGGCACATGGTGTGACATGCTCACTTTCGGGGGCTTGACTTGTGCTTTGGTTTTTCTTCGCGAGGCAATCTCATTCTTCCTTGGACAAAGACGCAAAACACGACATGGCCAACTGAGGAAGGAGGAGAGAGCGAGGAAAACACCTTTCATGCTAATGCTGGCAAAGGGAACGCGCCAGCACCATGGCAAAAACATGCTTGCAACGCTTGTCATCAAAAGCAAACGGAAAACAGAACATTGTTTGGGCTCATGTTGAATTAATTTCAGCCGTCGGCGCCACCAAAATTTCCAGTGTTGCCTGGGCCCTTTTACTCTCTGGCGACCAGCTTTGCGCGCTGCGCTCGGGATTCTCTTTTGGCGTGGCATGTTTCTATGGAAACACTTGGCAAAAACCCTACGTATCTTGGCACAGACTGTTTCGGCAGGCATGGAGAAAGGGCGCGCTGTTGGCCTTGCATTCCTATGTCGGCTCGTCTGTTTGTGCAAATAATTTCCTTCATGGGCTTGTCTCACACAGGCTACGGGCTCTGATTGGGACAGCAAACGCAAAATCACATACACCAAACTCATGGCAAGCTTGGCGCTCCAGGCATGGATTGTTGGCATCGCTAGCATGCAAATACCGCGCATCATATGAAAGGCACAGAAAGCGAGTATGTGGAAAACAGAGAAGTAGGAAAACCCACAGTCTGAGTTCATCGCATCACTGGACATCTGTGCAGTTGCATTGTAATTCAGTGACAAAAGCTGGGGAAACCCACCTGTCACATCAATATCACTCTGGATTTCTGTTGCTTGCGCACAACTGCAAGTGCAAAACCACAAGAGTATGCATAGGAGTGCAACTGAGGGCCGATACAAACAGGCCTGATTTTTCTGCCAAGCTTTCGCCACCACACATGGTGCCCGTGACGACCGCGAGGAGGTAGCTTGGCAACTGTCACAGATGGCTGCAAAAGCAGATGTTGTAGCATAAATCTGCCTAACATTCTTCAGCTGACGTCGGACTGCAGTGCTGTCACCACCATCTGTTGGCTCGCCCCATGTCACCACCTTTCCATTTGCCAGAATCGCAGCAAAGGCGTGGCGTGTGGCATGAATCTTCAGGACATTCCTGAGCTGATTTCTGACTCTAGTGCTGTCACCACCAGCCAATTCACTGCCCCATGTGACTACGGTCTGGTCTGCCAGAATTGCAGCAAAGGCAAAGGCTGTGGCATGAACCTGCTGAACCCTCCTCAGCTGATTCCTGACTCTGCTGCTGTTGCCACCATGGCTTTGATTGCCCCAAGTCACAAGGCTTCCATCTGCCAAGATTGCAGCAAAGGAAAGGTCTGTGGCATGGATCTGTTTAACGTTCTTCAGCTGATCTTTGACTGCAGCGCTGTTGCCACCACAGCTTGAACTGCCCCATGTCACGACGCTTCCATCTGCCAAAATGGTGGCAAAAGCGAAGGCCGTGGCGTTGATCTGCTGAACGTTCAGGAGTTGATCCTGGATAGCTGCGCTGCAACCACCGAACTCTTGCATGCCCCATGTAACAATTCTGTTACTTCCAGCGCAAGACAAAGCAAAGGCGGTCCCTGTTACAGCTACCATTGGCTGATGTGCCACAGCCGCAACGCTTTCTCCATCTTCAAGCCCAGAAAATTCAAGAGACTCTGATGGATCCAGAAGGCGTCCGTCAGGTGCAGCCAACCTCAAGAATCCTCGCCCCAAAGACTCTTGCGCAGCCACTTTCAAGTCGCCAATGCTGCCACTCAGCAGGATCGAGAGAGTTGCACAACGTCCGCTAGGTAAAGAGACCTGAAGTTTTAGAAAGCTGTCAGCCCCTTCGTCGCCTGGCAGCCCATGATCCACGAGCCTTTTGCGCCTCTTGCTTTCGGGCTCCATGGCGAGGGCATGGATAGTGGAGGGACCAGAGACTAAAAACTTGTTTTAACACAACACTGATGAGCCCGTACCAGTTAGCCCTGGTTCATGGCCCCGTTTAAATGTTGGATAACCCTACTTGGGGGCATTGCCAAATGCATTTGCAACAAATGACCATCACTGACATGAATAATATATAATTACCAGCTGCTGAACAATCAGAACACTGCAGTACCGGCAAAGTGCATGGCTCAAACATGGAGAAGAAAGCGTCTATCCACAAGAAAAGAAAACTAGACGACGGATGGCCCAAGAGCGTAGAGGAGCAGGGTCTTCTCTTGTTAGTATGGAGACACCATATTAGAAATTATATATTAAGACAAAATAGCAGAAGTGCAAGACAATAGTTTGCATCGCAAACACTTTTACACACAAAAGCTTTCACACACAGAAGCTTTTACAGACAGACACTTTCACACACAGACTCTTTTACGCACAGAAGCTTGCAGACACAAAAGCTTTTACACACAGAAGCTTTTACACACAGACGCTTTTACACAGACACTTTTACACACAAAGCTTTTACCCACAGAAGCTTTTACAGACAGACGCTTTTACACACATACGCTTTTACACAGATGCTTTAACACACAAACCCTTTTACACACAGACACTTTTACACACAGAAGCCTTTACACACAGACACTTTTACATAGACACTTTTACACACAAACCCTTTTACACAGATTCGCTTTTACACACAGAGGCTTTTACACACAAACACTTTTACACACAAACACTTTTACACACAGACCCTTTTACACACTGACGCTTTTACACACAGACGCTTTTACACACAGACGCTTTTACACACAGAAGCTTTTACACACAGAAACTTTTACACACAAACACTTTTACACACAAACACTTTTACACACAGACGCTTTTACACACAGACGCTTTTACACACAGCTTTTACACACAGAGGCTTTTACACACAAACACTTTTCTTTTACACACAGACGCTTTTACACACAGAAGCTTTTACACACAGAAGCTTTTACACACAAACACTTTTACACACAAACACTTTTACACACAGAGACTTTACACACAGAGACTCACCCACGACGCTTTTACACACAGACGCTTTTACACACAGACGCTTTTGCTTTTACACACAGACACGTCACGGCACAAGTACGTCGCAATTTTACCTCAGTTTTTCGCGCATCGACCCTCATTTCGTGCGAAACTGGGACAAGTAAAATCGCAATTTTCCCGCAGTTTTTGACGATCGACCCTCATTTCGTGCGAAAGGGTTGCTCCGGGACAAGTAGAGTCGCAATTTTTCCTCAGTTTTTGACGATCGACCCTCATTTCGTGCGAAAGGGTTGCTCCGGCACAAGTAAAATCGCAATTTTTCCTCAGTTTTTGACGATCGACCCTCATTTCGTGCGAAAGGGTTGCTCCGGCACAAGTAAAATCGCAATTTTTCCTCAGTTTTTGCCGATCGACCCTCATTTCGTGCGAAAGGGTTGCTCCGGCACAAGTAAAATCGCAATGTTTCCTCAGTTTTTGACGATCGACCCTCATTTCGTGCGAAAGGGTTGCTCCGGCACAAGTAAAATCGCAATTTTTCCTCAGTTTTTGACGATCGACCCTCATTTCGTGCGAAAGGGTTCACGTTTCGTGACTCCCCGCCGGCACCACCCTCGGCCTAAAGAGAGAAAGATAAAGAAGGCGAGAGAGAGAAAAGGGAGAGAGAAAGGAGAGAAGATGTGAAGATGAGAAGGTGTGAGAGAAGGTGTGAAGAGGAGCAGATGTGAGAGAAGATGTGAAGATGAGCAGATGTGAAGATGAGCAGATGTGAAGAGGAGCAGATGTGAAGATGAGCAGATGTGAAGATGAGCAGATGTGAAGATGAGCAGATGTGAAGATGAGCAGATGTGAGAGAAGATCTTAAGATGAACAGATGTGAAGATGAGCAGATGTGAGAGAAGATGTGAAGATGATCAGATGTGAAGATGAGCAGATGTGAAGATGAGCAGATGTGAGAGAAGATCTGAAGATGAGCAGATGTGAAGATGAGAAGATGTGAAGATGAGCAGATGTGAAGATGAGCAGATGTGAAGATGAGAAGGTGTGAAGATGAGAAGATGTGAAGATGAGAAGGTGTGACAGAAGGTGTGAAGATGAGAAGGTGTGAAGATGAGAAGATGAGATACAGACCCCCACTATTGGAAGAACCCTGCGCTCAGACGCTCTCGGAAAAAACAGATCAATTTTGCTGCTTCAGTCATGACCCAAATGAACAGGTTTCCTGGCTTGGGAGCATTGACCACCGTTGGACCACCAAGGATGACACTGAAAAACTCGGTCAAAACCATGTGCCATCCGCCAGGCAACAAAGTGCAGGATGTGCCGCCGCCGATGCAGTTGGGGCCCTCCGGGCAGTTCTGATGGGCGAAGTCGCAGAGAAACCTTCGCTGGGCGACTTGGGAGAGGGAAATTTGCAAAGGGTTGATGTCACCCTACAAATTCTCCGAATCACCAAATCATGCAAGTGGCTTCCAGATCATTTTCACTGGAACCAATGTCGCAGTGATGCTCCCATGGCAGTATCAATTTACGAAATTAGGTTTTTTTCGGCAATGATGATTGGAATTTCATCACCAAATGATTCCAGCGACCCACACATATGCAGATATCGACTACAGCTTGTGAGTCTGAAATGATGATCGCAGGCTGCGCTCCCATTTGTTCAGGATCACGCATGATTTGTTGTGGATGGATAAAAAAGATATGTGATATAGATCTCCATGAACCTCTCCCAAGACATCTTCTATGAGCGACCGGCGCGCTTGGCCAATTTTGGTTTTGAACCATCCACCAGCAGTTGCGGGTCTGCTGAGGGAACGGCGAAAGTCAAGCAGAAGTCAACCACTAAAGTAGTTGATGCGGGAAACCCAGTAGTAAACCAACCCCAATATTGCCGGAAATCGCAAATGGCTGGGAAACCATCCTCAGTCATGGCAGTTGTGGCATTTGGTGAATCCCACATTATCCACAATTTAGAGTGTGATTTGGCAAACCTCCACTTTAAGGAAGGCCTTATATTCATCGAGAAAAGGAGTAGGTGCAAAGTGCGATGTTCTTCTTTTAAGATGTTTTAAGTCTGAAGTCTGCCATATGCATCTGCCACGTGCTTTGAGACGAAATGCGACAGTACTAGTCCAGGTTACCTCGTTGAAAAAACTGCGAGCCATGGCATATCGTTCCAAGATTCTGCACCCGTCGTGGATCGCACCCCGCCAAAATCACCGAAGAATCAGCATCTTCGATCGCATCGTCGATCAAAAACCGAGTAGCATTTGGTTTCAAAATTTGTTGATGCGCTCTTCTTTGCTGATCATGTACAGCAAGAAGCCTGCAAGTTTTTTTTCCATGCCAGGCAAGGAGACATACTTGCTACACTGCTGAGCAGGAGGATGGGAAACTATGTATGGGAAACTCATCCCATTCCATATCATTCCATCTTGCAGCGTAGCGCACTCCAAAGGGGTTTGGGACAAAATTGGGTATTCTAAAAACTCGATGGTTACTGCTAGAAGTGGTCAATCCATCTGTGAACTAGAAAAAGTTGAACCAAAGTTTGACACCCAAAAGGCCTTGAAGCATGTTGTTGAACATCATGAAAAGCAGCCCTCTCATTGCCAGCCCAGTGTAGGAGATAGTCCAACCCGCGCTTCCTGTCAGCCAGTTCGCCCTACTGACCTGCTTTCGACTTCATGAAGGCTCATCAAGATACACATGATTCATCAGGATTCACATGATCAATCGCTTTTGTTGCTTGTTACACTTGGGATTGATTATATATATTAAATTGATTTCCAGCAAGAAAAGATGGGACCAGCCAGATGGGACCAGCCATTTCCTTCGGAAACTCCTAGTAGCTCCTTGGCTCCCCCTGTAAAAAGGGAATCGGGATACCACTGGATAGATGATTGATTCAACTATTTCAACTGTACTCTCCTGAAAAGAAGTCAAAGATAGTCACAGATTCAAGTCTTCAAAGCCCTTACCCATCTTTGGGCACACCGTTGCGCCATGGATGCCAAGGGATTCAGCCGTGGCACGCGCCGGGATCTACGTTGGCAAAGCCTGGCAGCAGGTACAAACTTAAGAGCTACCCTCCGGTGTCCTTATGGCTCTGGGAAATCCCCTATGGAGGTTTGAACGGGAAACTCAAACAGCATTGCCGGCATTGCCATGTTTGATTTGCCAAAGGGTACTATTGTTTGTACATGATCAAAATGGTTCGGTATGGTTTGGTGGTTTTTAAAGTTTATCAGACCATAAATGTTTGAGCTTCCCAAGGAGAGGAAATCGGTTCAACTGCTTCACCACCATGAATTTGTGCCTTCGACTTCACAATCCCTGCATCTCAAGAGATCTTTTGCACACCTCGACCAACCTCTACCCAGCTCCATGTTTTGTCTGATCCTTTGCGGCACCATCGTTGCTCTTCACAACACATTCCTTGCCAACTGGCGCCCCATCTAGGGTCTGTACACAAAATCCGGCTCCTGAGTTTTTCATCAGGTGGCTAAACTGCAAACTGGAACAGCTCACTATACTAAAGACTGTACAATCGATGTTTTGCAGGCGGGTCATCCTCTGTTGAGGGGACCTCAGAAGATGTCTCGCGCGAAGTCGCCCATATCCTCCACGGCCTCTTCCGCGAAATGAGCGATGTCTCCCGCATGATCCGCTGCAAAGACCGCACCAGCACCCAGAGCCAAGCCTCCAGCAGCAGCCATAGCCATCCTGGAACCATTCTCCTGTCGTTGCTGCATGTCATAGTCGTTTCCATAGGATGCATAGGCATTTTGTTGAGGCAGAACAGCCGGCTGCGCATAGTCACCATACCCTGGCAGGGGTTGCTGGTAGCCGATGCCATTGCCATATGGTTGCTGCATGTAGCTGGGACCTTGACAAAGAGGATGGGCTGGTGCATACTGATCACACTGATCATACATGGGCTGCTGATATCCAAAGGCTGGACCGGCCCTGCGGGCCCAGGGCTGGCCAACCATGTCCTCCTTGCCCCTGGAACAGCCCATTTTTCAACAGACAGCAGGAGACAACTCTGAAAACCCTGAGATTGGAGATTTTGAGCCCAGTTTTGTCTGATCCTTTGTGGCAAGCAAACATGTTCTGATGGCACCATCGTTGCTCTTCACAACACATTCCTTGCCAACTGGCGCCCCATCTAGGGTCTGTACACAAAATCCGGCTCCTGAGTTTTTCATCAGGTGGCTAAACTGCAAACTGGAACAGCTCACTATACTAAAGACTGTACAATCGATGTTTTGCAGGCGGGTCATCCTCTGTTGAGGGGACCTCAGAAGATGTCTCGCGCGAAGTCGCCCATATCCTCCACGGCCTCTTCCGCGAAATGAGCGATGTCTCCCGCATGATCCGCTGCGAAGACCGCACCAGCACCCAGAGCCAAGCCTCCAGCAGCAGCCATAGCCATCCTGGAACCATTCCCCTGTCGTTGCTGCATGTCATAGTCGTTTCCATAGGATGCATAGGCATTTTGTTGAGGCAGAACAGCCGGCTGCGCATAGTCACCATACCCTGGCAGGGGTTGCTGGTAGCCGATGCCATTGCCATATGGTTGCTGCATGTAGCTGGGACCTTGACAAAGAGGATGGGCTGGTGCATACTGATCACACTGATCATACATGGGCTGCTGATATCCAAAGGCTGGACCGGCCCTGCGGGCCCAGGGCTGGTCAACCATGTCCTCCTTGCCCGTGGAACAGCCCATTTTTCAACAGACAGCAGGAGACAACTCTGAAAACCCTGAGATTGGAGATTTTGAACCCAAATTCAACCAAGGAAAATCTGCTGAATGGCAACGGAAGTTCAACTGCCATCCCACATTTTTTTCCCTGTGGTGCTGTGTTGGAAGCACCCCGGGCCACCCCCTGCCTGCCGAATCAAGTCATGTTTCATCAGCCGCAGCGCCTTCTCAGCCACCCAAAGCCTTGGGGATATGCCATGCACGCAAAGACAAGAGCCTAGAAAAGGGCAAAGATGGCCAGAAGACCTAAACCACCACCATTTGAGGTACTTTTTTCAATGTGCCCCAAAAATGGATCACAAGGAAACCTCAACATTAACTTACCAGAGGAGATGAGACGTCCAAGATGGGAAGTGGCAGGTAATGAGATGGGAAGACGAATTTACTACAGGAGATGAGACGTCCAAGAAGGGAAGTGGCAGGAATATTACCGGAAATCGCAAATGGCTGGGAAACCATCCCCAGTCATGGCAGTTGTGGCATTTGGTGAATCCCACATTATCCACAATTTAGAGTGTGATTTGGCAAACCTCCACTTTAAGGAAGGCCTTATATTCATCGAGAAAAGGAGTAGGTGCAAAGTGCGATGTTCTTCTTTTAAGATGCTTTAAGTCTGAAGTCTGCCATATGCATCTGCCACGTGCTTTGAGACGAAATGCGACAGTACTAATCCAGGTTACCTCCTTGAAAAAACTGCGAGCCATGGCATATCGTTCCAAGATTCTGCACCCGTCGTGGATCGCACCCCGCCAAAATCACCGAAGAATCAGCATGTTCGATCGCATCGTCGATCAAAAACCGAGTAGCATTTGGTTTCAAAATTTGTTGATGCGCTCTTCTTTGCTGATCATACAGCAAGAAGCCTGCAAGTTTTTTTCCATGCCAGGCAAGGAGACCAATACTTGCTACACTGCTGAGCAGCAGGATGGGAAACTATGCATGGGAAACTCATGCCATTCCATATCATTCCATCTTGCAGCGTAGCGCACTCCAAAGGGGTTTGGGACAAAATTGGGTATTCTAAAAACTCGATGGTTACTGGTAGAAGTGGTCAATCCATCTGTGAACTAGAAAAAGTTGAACCCAAGTTTGACACCCAAAAGGCCTTGAAGCATGTTGTTGAACATCATGAAAAGCAGCCCTCTCATTGCCAGCCCAGTGTAGGAGATAGTCCAACCCGCGCTTCCTGTCAGCCAGTTCGCCCTACTGACCTGCTTTCGACTTCATGAAGGCTCATCAAGATACACATGATTCATCAGGATTCACATGATCAATCGCTTTTGTTGCTTGTTACACTTGGGATTGATTATATATATTATATTGATTTCCAGCAAGAAAAGATGGGACCAGCCAGATGGGACCAGCCATTTCCTTCGGAAACTCCTAGTAGCTCCTTGGCTCCCCCTGTAAAAAGGGAATCGGGATACCACTGGATAGATGATTGATTCAACTATTTCAACTGTACTCTCCTGAAAAGAAGTCAAAGATAGTCACAGATTCAAGTCTTCAAAGCCCTTACCCATCTTTGGGCACACCGTTGCGCCATGGATGCCAAGGGATTCAGCCGTGGCACGCGCCGGGATCTACGTTGGCAAAGCCTGGCAGCAGGTACAAATCTTAAGAGCTACCCTCCGGTGTCCTTATGGCTCTGGGAAATCCCCTATGGAGGTTTGAACGGGAAACTCAAACAGCATTGCCATGTTTGATTGCCAAAGTGTACTATTGTTTGTACATGATCAAAATGGTTCGGTATGGTTTGGTGGTGTTTAAAGTTCATCAGACCATAAATGTTTGAGCTTCCCAAGGAGAGGAAATCGGTTCAATTGCTTCACCACTGTGAATTTGTGCCTTCGACTTCACAATCCCTGCATCTCAAGAGATCTTTTGCACACCTCGACCAACCTCTACCCAGCTCCATGTTTTATCTGATCCTTTGTGGCAAGCAAACATATTTTGATTGCACCATCGTTGCTCTTCACAACACATTCCTTGCCAACTGGCACCCCATCTGCAGGAAAGTTCTCAAGCCCCCGGGGTCTGTACACAAAATCCGACTCCTGAGTTTTTCATGAGGTGGCTAAACTGCAAACCGGAACAGCTCACTCTACAAGAGACTCTACAATCGCTGTTTTGCAGGTTGGTCATCCTCTGTTGAGGGGACCTCAGAAGATGTCTCGCGCGAAGTCGCCCATGTCCTCCACGGCCTCTTCCGCGAAATGAGCAATGTCTCCCGCATGATCCGCTGCGAAGACCGCACCAGCACCCAGAGCCAAGCCTCCAGCAGCAGCCATAGCCATCCTGGAACCATTCCCCTGTCGTTGCTGCATGTCACAGTCGTTTCCATAGGATGCATAGGCACTTTGTTGAGGCAGAACAGCCGGCTGCGCATAGTCACCATACCCTGGCAGGGGTTGCTGGTAGCCGATGCCATTGCCATATGGTTGCTGCATGTAGCTTGGACCTTGACAAAGAGGACGGCCTGGTGCATACTGATCACACTGATCATACATGGGCTGCTGATCATAGGCTGGACCCGCCATGTAGGCCCGGGGCTGGCCAGCCATGTCCTCCTTGCCCATGAAACAACCCATTTTTCAACAGACAGCAGGAGACAACTCTGAAAACCCTGAGATTGGAGATTTTGAGCCCAAATTCAACCAAGGAAAATCTGCTGAATGGCAACCGAAGTTCAACTGCCATCCCACATTTTTTTCATTTTTTTTCCCTGTAGTGCTGTGTTGGAAGCACCCCGGGCCACCTCCTGCCTGCCGAATCAAGTCATGTTTCATCAGCCGCAGCGCCTTCTCAGCCACCCAAAGCCTTGGGGATATGCCATGCAGGTCGATTTTGTGCAACTCCGTTGGTTCTCATGTCATCATTTCATCATTGGTCGAACGTTCACACAATTTCGGTGTCCACCCTTCAGCAAGGTGGCTATGCCTTATGATCCAAGCTATCATAGCAAATTTGGGATCAGAGGATCGCTCATCCTCCCACACACCAAGAAGAAAAAACTATATGACATCAATGTCTTATCATGTGTGTGGGGAACATCTGAAGAGATGTAAAACTTCTAACTCGGGTAATTTTACTGGGTTTCAACCTGATGTTTGCTGATTTGATTTCATTTCTATTTCAATTTCAAAACAGGTTTTCATTCTCAGCAGGGGAACTGGAGCCGATTTGCCTATCCAGTCCAACGAAGCTATGGCATTTCGGTGGATGAGTGGTCTGATCAACCACTTGTACCTGCAGATCTTGGCATGGATGTCGTGGACATAGCTTGCAAGATCACTTTGACAACTTCATTTATTTTCACTGATGGCATCCAGCTAAGCCTAGAACCGGCACGACGTTTTTCAAACAATTTCTCAAAACGTTTTTCGCACCAAACGACTGTACGGTTTTCGCAATCTGACTGAGCTGCATCAGAACTTGTTGAAACTTCGAGCAAGGACGTAGAAAGATTACTTCGCACTATTTCTCACGTTGGGTCAACCAAAATTTCCTGTCATGTTTTACTGAAGTGTTTTGGCACGTACGATGCATTCCACATCAATAATTTGATAAGGTTTTTCTGAGCAAGTGTGTTATTCCTGCTGAATTCGTCAAGATGGCAGGAACCCCTCGGGGAATACCTTTCTGGGTAAAGAATTGACACTTTGAAACGATCTCTGAATTTACACGTTTGAATTAGTAATTCGTTGAAGTAAAGTGAAACTGCCGTTCAGCTTTCAGCTTTTCACCTTGTCGAAGTCGTCTGGTTGAACAGCGTGCCGCTGTCCTGGGCCCCACCTTTTCCAGAGCTGCCAGGGTTGTAGTCTGAAGCTGCAACAACATCTCGTTTTTTGGATATTGCTCCAGCAACTGACAGACAGACATGACCGTCATGCATTCCATGAGAGAGGATCCAGGCAGGCACACGACTTTAGGTGTGGTCTTTTTCTTTTGATGGTTTCTGGTGAGGTTCAATTGTGCACGCAATTCAGGGGTTGACGACGTAAGCTGTCCATAAGGTTGATGTGACAACCGAGGGCCTTGAGCCTTATCACGAAAATGCACGTATTGTGGATGCGTCAAGAAGTTGTGGTGTGGATTTAACATAATTGAACCTGACACTCTTGCCATGTTTCCTGGACGTTATCCAAACGTCCCAGAGCCAATGTGGAACTTTGGATGGAATCCTCAGACCATTGGCCTCCAAGGCCAGTTTTACGGTGGGGACCCTATGACTCAGGTACAGCAGTCCAA